ATAAACGGATAAAGAAATAGATAAGGAAATAGACAAAGTAATAGATAACGAAATAGATAAATAAACTGATAAAGAAATAGATAAGGAAATAGACAAAGTAACAGATAAAGAAATGGACTAAGAAATAAATATTAGGCGGCAGTGAATAAGACGATTAAGGAACCTTTTCTCCTGAACACAACCCGGAGTTAAAATCGCGTCGTGTCACCGTGAGTGGGCGGATCGATAAACAAAACTTTTCCTTTCGGTGAGTTTTATCGGTCTTTATTACACTTTTCTTGTTGCATTTCACGTCTCTGTTGAATAATATAAGTGGCTGGACGTTTGTGAGACGGTTTAGGTTTATTTTTCATGTATTTTGAGGGGAATTTCAGCGGGAATTGGTGCGAAGTCGAAGTTGAGGTAAGTTTACCTGGATTGTATATGTATCTACGGGTTTATTTATGTGTTTGTTCCTTATAATAGTAATTTTACTTTGAATTTTCTATTTGATGGGTGTTTTTCTGTGTGATTTTTTTAAAGTTAAAAAGTTGTAGGAACAGTAACGATCAACAAATGATTCGAATATTCTGTAAAGTTGAGAAGTTCCGTCCCTGCAGGTTCTTACGTAGGCCTATTTGGGTAAATTTTAACCCAGCAAAAGCACTTGCGGTGATTTATACCTGAAGCACACGGGAAAAATCCAAGGAGTTTGGTATCGAGGAATTCCACAGAATGCCTTGTATGTATTTATGGTGTTTTAGTCAGGGAACAGTAGCAAGAATACAAGAACCAGTGGGTGGTGGGAGCATGAGGCTCCAGCAGGAATAGGTGTGATTGAATTGCATAGTACATGGGATATTCATTATTCATTGTATATTTGGGCCAGTAATATATAACAAATACGGAGAACGACAAACAATATCCCATAGGAATATATTTAGGAGTTTGCTCAACCGTATAGTCTATATATAAAGTTGTGTCTTTTTTTTATAATATTCAATTTCTGTGATACAATCTGCATTGCTAGTCACATTAGCAGGAACAGGATCCTGATTATGGAAATACCATCCTCCCTGGAGCCGGTGCTCCTCCAGTCATGGGTTACAGATAGTATATTTTGTACTTGTTTATTGGTGGAAATGATGCTAAAGCCCCTTCCTAAATGTCCACTGAGTCTAATCACCCTCCAAGAGCTTTGAGCACTTGTGGCAAGTCATTCCCATCAACCCAGTCTTCAGCCAAAATTCCCATGACGGCATGTTCACATCACCCGCCCCTCGAGCCAAATTTTTTCACAGCATGATGGTCATGTCATCCAGATCGTAGGGGTTATTGATGCATCAAAAAAAAAATGTTGGTGACAAAAGAGTGAAATGATGAATAACAGGGAAGTGAACTGGGATCCCCAGTATTTGTGTATGTTTGGCTTTGCTAGGTGTTGTGCTCACTAAAATCTTGTGAGTGACATTTTAGCCCAGCTGAGGCAGAGGCTCTTTGGGGTAAACATCCCTCACCACTCACTCAGTCCCAAGTTATTGTTTAAATTACAGGAGTTTTAAGTGATTCATATTATGCGTATTTATAAAATCCATCCATGGTTTGTAGATATTGACGGGAGCTTATTCTTACCAAAAGATGTATTGTGAGATGTAAACCTATTCCAGAAATTTAGAAAATTATTTAAGCAGAAACTTATTATTGATTTTTGATTGCTCAGGATGTCTGTTGTGTTCCAAGATTTTGATAATCAGCTCCATAGAGAAACTACAGAGATAATGTTAATTTGTAGAATAGGCATGAAGTATATCAAGAAAATTACAGAGAAATGACTAATAATATCCATAAGCTATGATGATATCCAAGTACTGGAGCCATACCTGCTCCATCTGTCTGGACCAGTGGCACTGTGGACCACAGGGACTCATTGCTAGATTCTTCAAAGATTGATGAAAGCTGTCCATAAGATCACAAATTCATACATCGTGATATTTAACTAGCATCATATTCCCGAACATCTAATAAGTAACGTGTTATGTGACCGTTTCTTACAAAAGATTTGTTAGCACTTTACGATCCTCAACAATTCTTATTGGCTCGGATATTTCAAGGGGCACATGAATATATGTTAATTCACATTTCATACTTTCTTAATTTCTTGTGGTTCTTGAAGAGGAAGGTTTTAGAGCTCTCAGCTGTTCTGATTTACTAATATTGTCTCACATTTAACATTCACCTGCAAATCACAGAACAGATATTTATATATTTATTTTATTTTATTTTTTTGTCAATTTTTTATATTTGTTTTTTATTTATTATTATTTTTTTAAAACTTTAGATCAAGTATGATATATATATGTGTGTGTGTGTGTGTGTGTGTGTGTGTGTGTGTGTGTGTGTGTGTGTGTGTGTGTGTGTGTGTGTGTGTGTGTGTGTGTATGTGTGTGTGTGGTGCATTTTTGAGAATACATACCATAATATCCAATGAATGCTATTATATCTGAAATGAGTAAAGTTATTG